CAACCCTTCCATTACAGGCCCAGAGGTCTAGGGAGACAGAATGGTCTTGGGGAACAGGCCCAAGGCACCCTTCACCAGCTCACTGCCCAGGCCCACAATGAGATGCTGCACCCTACACCTGCACCACAGCTGCTTTGACTGCTTCAGCTGTGGCTAAATTGGCTCCAGGTGTAGCTGGGCCTAAACTGGAAAATACAAGCTGGAAGATGTGGCGGTGTCCACATGATAACAAGTTTGCTGACTCACAGAATGCCAGATTTCAAAGGGTATATGGAAAAGCCTGGGGGCCCAGGAAGAGACCTGTTGTAGGTGCGGATTCACCACAGACAGCCTTCGCTAGAGCAATGCTGAGCAGAAATGTGGGGTTGGAGTTGTAGCAGAAAAACCCCAGCAGCATCATGCCTAGTGAAGCAGTGGGAGCGGGACTGCCATGGAAACCGATTTGTGAAGCTACCAGCATGGAACACCAATCTGGGAGAGAGAAGTGTGGCCTGAGACCAGGAAAGCCATAGGAATGGAGCTGCCTGAGGACTTGGGAACCCAATACCCGCACCAGCCTGCAGAGGATGTTGAACATGGAGTCAAGGTACATGATTCACTACCTTTGGGATTTAATGCCTGCCTGGCTGGGTTTCAGACTTGTTTATGACTTATTACTCCTTTTTGGCGGCCTATTTCTCCCTTTTGGAATGGGAATATGTACCCTATGCTTGCTCCACCATTGAATCTTGGAAGTAGATAACTTGTTTTGATTTTACAGATGGGACTTTTTTTTTTTTTTTAAAGATGACCAGTAAGGGGATCTTAACCCTTGACTTGGTGTTGTCAGCACCACGCTCTCCCAAGTGAGCTAACTGACTATCCCTATATAGAGATCCGAACCTGTGGCCTTGGTGTTATCAACACCACATTTTCCCAGTGAGCCACAGGCTGGCCCCAGATGGGACTTTTAACTTTGCATTTCTGAGTTGAAACAAGTTAAGACTTTGTGACTACGGGGATGAAATGGACATGAATTTTGGAGGGCAAGGGGCAGAACTGCCTTGGGTTGAATGTGCCCCCCAAACTTAGTTCCCACTGTGACAATGTAAAGAGGGTGGGAAATCCTATTATGGTAATTGGAAGGTGGAGCCTTGAAGAGGTGATTAGATTGTAGGACCATGCAATAATGAATGGATTAATAATGGTGGTCATGGGCATAGTTCTGAGGGCTTTAAAAGGAAAGCATGTGAGATTCTTTCTCTCCCTGCTCCATCATTTTCTGCCATGTGAGACCCCTGCATTGCTGTAAAGCCACCACCACAGAAGACTCATCAGACGTGTTCCCTGGGATTTGGACTTCCCAGCCTCTGAAACTGTAAGCAATAAATTTCATTTTCTTATACATCACCCAGTTCAGGTATTTTGTTATAAGCAACAGGAAGGGAATACAGTAGTATAAAGAGATGTCATTTTTTTATGTACTGATCTTGCAATCTTGATAAGTTCACTTATTAGTTTTAATATCTTCTTTGTAGATTCTTTTGGATATTCTACATACAAGATTATGTTGTCTGTAAATAAATTCAGTTTTACTTCTTCCTATAGGAGATTTTAAATCTTGGGGATAGGGGCCGGCCCGGTGGCGCACTGCTACAGTGCGCCGCTTGGGAAGTGCGGTGGCGCTCCCGACGAGGGTTTGGAT